CTGAAAAGATAAATTTCTGGGGTTTTTGGAGGAAAATGTTCTCCCTTTTATTCTCTGATGGATTCTAGCTTCTCAAATGTTCTGGATCTTTGTTATTTATTTATTTTTGTTTCACGATGCATCAAGTCGTGCTGTCGTAACGAAGCTTCACTGAAGAAGCCATCATTTRTACGAGCACGTCTTGTTCTAAAACCTGCGGATACTGTTCTGTACTAATGGGGCATTTATRGGCACTAATGCACCCCCATACCATCAGAGAGGCAGGCTWTTGACCTGCATGAGCAGGCTTGATGGCCCATCTGAACTGTAGATGATGATTCWAAGTCATCCATTACCATTTTTCTGAAATTGTTCTACTTTTAGATACAGTTTTTAGAATCTTTGGTTCCCAAAGTTGGGCTTGGGACCCAATTATGAGTCATGAAGCACCTTGGATAATCTCCAGAAATCCATTTAAAGGGTAATAAAATAATTGATGATGTAATATTTTCCCTATAATTATTACAAAAACACAAAATAAGTATAAATAAGTATTTATATTTGTGTAYAAGCTGTTTAGATTGTCAAAAAACCTGTGTTTTTAGGGTTGTTAATGAAGTTTGTGTACTCAGACCAGTAATATTTGGGGTCACAAGTTTTTGCCCTGGATATTTTGTGGGTCAGAAGGTAAAAAGTTTAAGAACCACTGATCTAAAAGCCTCTCTAGTTGTCACTGATCTGTAGCTACAGGTCAGTGACAACTAGAGGCTGCAAAATGCTTTTCCACATGTTTACGACTCTTTCTTCAGTGAAATATGTTATTGTTTCGAAAACAAAAGTTCAGTTTCTTATTTGTTTACTATGATCCGTTGTGAATCAAAGGTGGGTTTATGAGATTTGCAAATCAATGYGTTGTTTTTGTTTATATTTTACACAATGTCCCAACTTTGTGTTACCAGTGTTGTACGTGCAGCAGAGCTTTACCCATAAAGCTCGCTGACATCTGGTTAACGAAGCTCAGGATTTTGCTTGAGGGCAGTTCAGTCGACAACCTTAGAGGTTTGTCCACTGATGAACAATATCCATCATTCGGTTCAAGATTTAATCATTTCCTAAAGACCAACATTTTSTTTTCAAATATATTTTATTACCGGAGTGTATACAGACGTTTTGTAGAATCATCAATTATAGCAATTATTTTATTATAAAGCAATTTACAATTTAGTTTTCTCATAAGAAAGTTAGGCTGTTGAAAAGTCCAAATGCAGCAGAACAATCCTGTTCGTTYGTGTTTTGTGTCCATCGTTTTTCAAATCCAACTCAAATCGACCAGCGTGTTTCTGAGGCCCAATGTTTGAGCTCACAGCGCCATCTGCTGGTGGCTGAAGAAAACAACAGAATCTCCATTTTCAACAATATTAAAGTACAAATTCTTTATGGCAGAAGAAGAAAAAAATAAAAATACCAAACCCAACACACAAATATTGTGCCGTTTGTCGTAAATTCATAAAAGAAACTGAATTCTGCTACTGATTTTTTGCCATAATGTTTCACAAATACTCCCATCTATATGAACACTTACAGGAACACACAAGAGAAACAATAGGTGCTCTGCAAAAACCTCCAATCTCCTGTTAATTACCATAAACTGATTGATTTATGTTGTTAACAACAACACAATGCTGGCGTTTCCATTGCACTTGTTCTTTTTTTTATAGATATTCAAGATTTTTGCAGCACTCTGAAAATACTTTTGCCCGTCTAAACAAAGGCAAACAGAGAAATTTTCAACACACAACACAAAAACTCTTTCTATTACACTTAAACTCAAGTCTCCTAAAGACCAACTTTACCTTTTCATTATACAGTACAACAGATTTTCCAAAGCGATACCAAAAAGTACGACACACAGGTAAATGTAGTGTGATACTGAGCTCAAAGAGAAATAGCTGTTTTTCTTATCTTTACATGCATTAACCCGTATTATCAGACTTCTCCTGAAGCCTTGTAATTGAGGTGCAGCAATGTCTCATAACTTTTTTTTAATCATATAGAACCTAAATTTAATTGCTGATTGTGTCTCGAGTTAAAAGACCGCAGAACGATCAGCACACAGCTACGTTTTAACACCAGGTGTAAAAAGGAATTAAGAAATTAAAAACAAGAGTTAATGCAAAAATCAAGTTCCCGGCCTTTATAATTCTTCTTTTTTTTGTTTTTCTTCATTTCTAATAAATTACCTGTAAACAACTTCCTCTCTTCTTGCAGGCAAAAAAACAAACAAAACAAACAAACAAAGGAGGCAGGGAGGAGGAGAACGTCCCGGTCTTTAACTCGTCTCCAGCTTGGCCATTTCCTGCACGTAGATGCCGATGCTCTCGCTGTCAAAAAGCACAAAGTAGACGGTCTTGATGGTGGAAGACATGGTGGCGACAAAGTAGCTGGAAATGGCCTTGAGGATGAGCTGAGCCGCCGTCTGCTTCGGAAAACCGTTCCTGACACACAAACAGGAAGTGTTCGTTCAGGTGTTCTGAACTGCTCTGTTTAGTTTCTGTACATTTCTCAACAAACTCTTGATGTATTTAACGAGAAGATAGAAAATTAATGGTATAAAATCAAACTGACAGCTATCCTGTATTCAGCCTAGTTTCATCTAAATTAAACTTGTCTTAAATATTATTTTAATTTCTCTGGATACATTAACTTGTCCATCACTCCACAATAAATAATAATTTAATAATAATAGAGATCAGAATGAAGTCACAGCCAGAGAAATAAAAACAAACATCACATATGTGAGCCATCATATCAAAATGAGGATTAAGTCAAATTAGATCAAAATGACCTAATTACATTTTCAGATTC